GTACACCCCTGAGGGGAGCAGCGGGCGGTCAGGAGAGGTCTGCCACGCCATGTGGTCACCTCCGGGGCAGGAATCAAACTGGTGCTGAAGCGGCTGCAGCCAGCTTGCAGTGCTGCGCCCTAACCTGTTGCGCCCCGGGGATTGTCAGCCGCGGTCCTTACGTCACACGTCTCTGCCTTTGACTAAGACTTTCCTCACTGAGAGACTGAAGTGAGGGAAAGGAGCTGGCTGCTGCATTCGGTTGCTCACCGCACACTTCTGAGCACCAGTCACGTTGGTGGCCATAGCTGAGGTGATGATTTCCGAGGGTAACACCAGGTCTGGAGGAAGGTGCTACTGCCGCTAATCTGCATAAGGGGTTTTGTGGATCAGGGTGGGTCTGACTGGGAAGCAAAAGCTGTACGTTAAGTATGAAAGGAAACGCGTGCCTTCCTCTGGCCGTACCGCTGTTCCTCTGGAGAACTGCTCCTCCCAAACCTCAAATATGTGATTTTGGGGGGCTGCTGATTCCAGGAAGGCTGTTGCCCTGGCCACAGAGGTGGACATAACACCCTGGTCTGGCCAGTCCTCTGGCCACGGTGATTGACCCAGAAGCTGGATCTGGGCGCCAATCCTCGTCCTTCCCTGGGGTGTATATGTGTCAATACTAAAGAGAGATAAACCGTCTCCTCAGAGTCCCTAAGCTTGCCCAGAGTAACTGCAGTAAGTCTGGGGGGCCTGGTGTGTCTCGCCCAGGGGAAGAGCCTGTCTGTGGGATAGGGTGCAGAGAGCTGCCCACTGTAGAGCAGCTCGGTCACATCCTTCCCCATCACTCAGTCAGAGGCACCCCCTTTCCTGAAGCTGGTCAGGCTGGGTTTCAATTCCCCGAAAAAACAAAACAAAACAAAACAAAAACTCAGTTCTGGTGGGGTCCCTGATACCAGCTCCCCATCCCCAGGTACCCAGGGCTGTGATCTGCTACGTGTTGGTCCCAAAGAACCAGCTGGAGCCTGTTAGACAAAACCACACGTTTCACAAGAAGAAGCCGGCTTTGCAGAAGCAGTGTGGGCCGAGCAAAGCAGGAAAAATGGAATTTCTGCATTGTTGCCAGACGTTACACTTTCTAGAAGCAAATAACTCTACAGATAAATATTTTGCAGTTCAATGTTTGGGGTTCTTGGATCCCTCTGAGAATGAATTTGGCAGTCTCCCACTCGGCAACACAGAGTTGTAACGATGTCTGTCTGCATCCTACAGACAGGCGGGGCTGTTGGGTGGGTGGGGGCACAGCTGTGTGGTACGGGGTTGGGGGGCATGGGGGCGCTGGTCAAGCAAGAGAGGCGCATAGCCAGGGTGCCGCCACTTACTGCCCGCGTTCAGCTGTCCTCTTAGACAGCTCTTTGACGGGATTTATTCCTTTGTGGCTTTTGTTTTTAATTTTGCAGGTTTGGGTCGGTTTTGGGACGACCGATCGTCCTTTCTGCCACCTCTGGTTTTTGACCTTGTGGAAAACTTGCACCCAAAACGAGGTACTCCAAGCTTCCATCAGAGGGGATGGCTTCCCTTTTCTCTGGCACAGAATTCTAACTGGAAAACAGAATCCAGAGAGTTTTATCACCACCCTGTCTTCCCAACTGCTAGTTTCATGTGCGGGTCATGCTCAGGCTTCTGTCTGGAGTGGTGACATGGTCTGCTCTTCCTGTCTGCTTTCTGCAGCGGCCTCCAGCCTGCACGGTGCTTCCTGTAGGTTGTGGGGAACCGGCCTCCCCGCTGCCTCCCTGTGGCTAACTTTGCCTCGGTTCAACCCATGGACCGTTATACCCGCATGTATTTCCTTCTCTTTAAAGATTTACTTATTCATGCACACAGAACTGGGGTACAGGCAGGTGAGAGATCCCGCCAGAGACTTTGGGTAGCTGGACAAAGGGGCTGGGCAAATCAATCAGTAAGCGTAGGAAATCTTATTTTTGCCTAAAATATCGTATGTGTGCATGTGTGTATGTGCGCACCTGTGTGTGTGGGGGGGGGTGGAGAGCGAGAACTAGTGCAGAAACCCTAAGAGTCCACCATCCACCCCACCCCCCTGCAATGAGTCCCGCTACCCAAGTCTCGCCACTAGGGGGCGTTTTCCTGCTGGGGTGCGGCAGGCCCCAAGTCCCAGGATCCTGTGTCCAGCATTAAGGGACGGGACGGGAGTTGACGTAAACTTCCCAGCCGCCTGGCCTCCATGGGACAGCTGAGTGGTCCTCCCCACGGAGGCTCGCAGACCCCGGGCCCTCGAGTCCCAGCTGACATCTTTCTACAGTAGATGTATCCCAACCAAAATTGTCAGCGCCTGCGCAGCCTTCCGCTGGGAGGCTGCGAGCCCATCGCTCATTCCTTCTGTCCACTTCTGGTCGACATGAAGAGAAACACCGCAACTCTTCCTAAAACATGCGACGCACACGTTGTCTCCAGGTCTCCCGCTCAAACCCGCCAAGAGCTCGCCATTACGCAGCTGGCGAGGCGGGAAATTTCCTAACTTGGCAGTTGAGTGGGCCCGCTCTCCCCCACCCTCACCCCCCTGTCACCCCCTCACGCCAGACTGGACCCCCGGTCACCACCGCACTGACCGAGCCTGCATCTGCGCCTTCGCTGGGGCTGCATCTCCAGGCCGGTGGCTGGCTGCTCTCACCGGCACCACCCTTAAGTGAGGAGTCTTCCCTCTCCCTTCCTGACAGTGTCATCCATAGGGGGCTCTGTACAGTCCGGTATTTTTGCCCTTTTTTTAAAGGGCCTGTTCTCACTTCCCCACAGCGGGGTGCACTCAGCCTCAGCGCCCAGAGGCACACAGCCTCCCTCCTGCCCGCCCAGCCTCCCTCCTGCCCGCCCAACCTCGCTCCTGCCCGCCCAGCCTCCCTCCTGCCC